TGGAGCATCGCACAGACGCTAGTACGCATGCGTGCGCCACGCACGTGCACGAGGACGCTGCTGGCCCCGTTCCAACAGAACCGGTTGGAACGGGGCGAGAAACCCACCCCTGATCTATGCATATTCCAACTTCAGACCCTATAATGAAGACAACAGGTCACAAAGGAGCCACAAATTCAAATTTTAAACAGTGGGAGTCAGAGGAATGGTAGACGCAAAGATAAACATGAACAAATATTAATGGAGAAACTCTGTGTATAAGAAAAATCTGAGGAGAATAAACGTATTGGTCTGAGACAGCAAAATTAATTAACATAGGGGGAGCTAGAAGAGCAACTGTTGCCAAGAGGATATGCATTATATATGAAGGAAGATGAGATGGGAATTAGGCTATGGTGAAATATGAAATACAGAGAACAATTCCTCAATATATAAACTATATTTCACTTGATTCTTTCCTTTCAAAACTAAATTCATTCCTCATAATTTTTGGTATCATACAAACTTACACATACATTAGCCAACTGCTACCAAAACTATATTTTATTTTATTACTTTAAACATGATGGATCACTGCTCTCATGCCACGGTTTTAAATAAAATAATTTAAAAGAACATAATTAATTCACATACTAATGTTATCGTGTGGGCTAAATCATTCATGTCTAAATACACAGAACTGTATATAGGCAGACAAAAATGCCAAATCCAGTCTAAACATCTGGCTGACTGTGCACTGAATCATAATAATGATAATAAATGACTTGATAGGTTGATAAAAAGGACAGATCCAGTCTAAGCATCTAGCTGACTGCGAAAAAATTAGGTAATAGTAATTTTAGATGCATAGTATGTTTAATATATAAGAAAAAGCTATCCGAAGATATGGGAAATGAACAAATTAAGATTCTGTTTAAAAATAAGAAATCAGAAGTTTCAACTAAACTTAACAAACAAAAGCACCACCAAATCCTCCATTGCTCATTTGCCAAAGCTAACTTGGTGTGACTCATTTGTGGCTCTGATTGCAATCCATTCATTTTTATATGGTCAGCATTTTTAAAATCTTGGGAGAAGTGGGAAGAAAACGGACAAGCAATAGCACAGTAGATAGACTCAACTAGAACAGTGATGGGAGAAGCACGAAAAGATCAAAAGGTCCAGGATGATCTGTCAGAAAATCTATACAATCATTAAGAATTCACACCAATTTGATGGCATGCAATTCGTAATTCATGAGCAGAAATCATCAGCAGAAATATTTTTGCACTTATGTTTCATGTACAATTTTAATAATCCAATTTCTTATCAGTTAGTTTTGTGTAAAGTGAAAGTGAGTAATGACAAAATGAAAAATAGTAGAAGTATCTTTGGAACCATCAAACTATGTATCTTACACAGGGAATAGTTTTCTTAAGCTTTTCAAAAGTAACAGCATTTGTAATTCACTTCATTCATTCATTCACTTTCCTTGTTTGCTGCCCAAATCAAGATTCTAGGCAGCTGATAATCTCAAATACAAAATGATTTTTAATCTTCAAAACATATTTAAAAATAAAAAGGGAAAAACAGATAAAAAACAAAAGAAATATAAACACCAAGCACCTGAAAATGTTGAATTACAACGCAACTTTTCCTGTACTAGACAAACAAGTAGCTTTTAAGAATTTTTTGAAAGCTTAAAAGAGAGAAAGCTGATTGGATTTTTTTGCATGGAATGAGTTACCAGAGTTTGGGTAACTACGGAAAACATTTTCTGGGGTCCTATTAGATGACAATTTCATAGTGATAGGACCTGGAGGAAACTGACCACCAATGTTCCCTCTAATTTTTTTTCAGTGTGCGCGGAAACGTGTAGTGTTTGAGCGGTATATTTTCATGCCTGAGCACCTGAATTTTTTTCAGATGTCACCAAGACAACAAGGGCGTCCAAGGGACCCCAATGTGGTGGCGGTGGCCGCTGCTTTGGGAAATGGGGGGCGGAGGCTATGAGTTGTTGGAAAGGGACACACGTAACCCACGCAAC